CAAGCTCACCTGGCAGGGTCCGGCCCGAACCGCTGACTACCTGAGACCATTGCCACATGAATCAGAGAAAGATCTCATTAAATCTGTGTTCAGTTAAAGGGAATTGAGGACCCTGTGAGTAAGCAATCCGTGGTTACTTCAAACATGCAGAATTCCGAATAACAAACGCACAGGGAGTGAGGGTAGTTCATCTGGGAGCTGAGCTTCATCCTTCGGGGACACAGCCACATCCCAGGCCTTGGGCTCTGTGAACTCAGGTGGACGCTGAGTTTGCTGGTGAGGATGGAGAAGCCGTTTGGGCACCTGAAGTATTCGAGCAAGGATAAACAGGAGGCCTGCTCGTGCTGGTCCTGCCCGGAGGCTGCTGTGGGTGGGGGTAAGCCGCACATCCTGCCAGGCACCCCGTTGCCCTCCTGTCACCCAGCCAGAGCCTCCAAGAGCCACACAGCCCATTTAGAGGGTGGCCCCCACTAATGTCCGATTAAAATGCGTGATGGTGGCTCCTGTAGCCACCCATGATGGAGGATACGTCCCTGTGTCCTCCATCCTCATGATGCCTCAGTCCCCACACCTTCCCTTCGCCTCGCAGGGAATCGAGCTTTGTCATGGGCTTTATTTACTCTGTGACTCTTCTGCCCAGCAGGACTCAGGATCTCCACGTGTCCTTGGGCTTCGAGGGCTGGCCCCTTGAAGGGGGCGGTTGGCTCACGTCTGTAATCCCAGCACTTTGGGAGGCCGCTACCACCGCCCAGGCTGCTGCTTGGCGGGTTTCTTGCTCCCAGTATGCCAGAGACTGGCCATGACCCTATCAATGCTGTCCTCCTGTCCCGGCCTCCAGCTGGCTAACAGCACGTACCTGCCCCCGCTTACACAGCAGGATTTGGCTCTTGCATCCCTGCAAGGCACCAGATTGTGGGACACAGGGTGAATTTGCATCAAAGCTGGACTTGCAGAAGCGTGCAGTGGAATGGTGGTTACCAGAGGCTGGGGTGGGGGCCGGAAACCGGAGGGATATTGGTCAGAGGGCAGAAGTTTACTTACGCGGAAGGAAAACATTTCTGTGATCTATTGCATAAAACAAAAAATTTTACTTTGTTTGTTGCCTGCGCTTTTGAGGTCTGAGTCATAAAATGTTTTCCCAGACCAGTGTCCCAAAGTGTTTACCGTATGTTTTCTTCTAGTAGGTTTGCTTTGTTGTTGTTTTTGAGATGGAATTTTTCTCTGTCGCACAGAGTTTTGCTCTGGAGTGAAGTGGCGTGATCTTGGCTTACTGCAACCTCCACTCCCCAGGTTCAAGCACTTCTCCTGCCTCAGTCTCCTGAGTAGCTGGGATTATAGGTGCCCTCCACCATGCGAAGCTAATTTTTGTATTTTTAGTAGAGACAGGGTTTTGCCCTGTTGGTCAGGCTGGTCTCAAACTCCTAACATCAGGTAAATCACCTGCTTCAGCCTCCCAAAGTGCTAGGATTATAGGTGTGAGCTACTGTGCTGGCCTCTTCTAGTAGTTTTATAGTTTCAGGTCTTATACTTAGGTTGTTAATCCATTTTAAGTTTATTTTCGTGTATGGTGAGAGATAGGAGTCTAATTTCATTCTTCTGCATGTAGATATCTACTTTTCCCAGCAACAGAAGATACTTTCCTTTTCCCATTGTATGTTCTGGATGCCCTTGTCAAAAATCAGTTGTCTGTAGATACATGGATTAATTTCTAGATTCTTTGTTCTGTTCCATTGGTTTACATGTCTTTTTAATGCCAGTGCCATGCTGTTTTGGTTACTATAGCATTGTAGTATATTTTGAAATCTCATAGTATGATGCCTCCCGCTTTCTTATTTTTGCTCAGGATTGCTTTGGATATTTGGGGTCTTTTGTGGTTCTACACAAATGTTAGGATTCTTTTCTGTTTCTTTGAGAAATGTCATTGGTATTTTGTTAGGGATTATATTGAATCTGTAGATTGCTTTGGGTAGCATGGCATTATAACAATATTAATTCTTCCAATCCATGAGCATGGTATGTTTTTCTATTTGTTTGTATCCTCTTCAATTTCTATCATCGGTGTTTTGTTGTTTTCCTTTTAAAGATCTTCTACCCCCTTGGTTAAATTTATTCCTAGGTTGTGGGAGTTTTGTTTGTTTGTTTGTTTGTTTGTTTTGGTAGCTATTGTAAATGGGATGGCCTTTCTGATTTCTTTTTCAGCTGGTTCATTGTTTATAGAAATGTGACTAATGCCGGGCACGGTGGCTCAAGCCTGTAATCCCAGCACTTTGGGAGGCCGAGGCACGTGGATCATGAGGTCAAGAGATCGAGACCATCCTGGTGAACATGGTGAAACCCCGTCTCTACTAAAAATACAAAAAATTAGCTGGGCATGGTGGTGCATGCCTGTAGTCCCAGCTACTCAGGAGGCTGAGGCAGGAGAATTGCCTGAACCCAGGAGGCGGAGGTTGTGGTGAGCCTAGATTGCGCCATTGCACTCCAGCCTGGGTAACAAGAGCAAAACTCTGTCTCAAAAAAAAAAAAGAACTGTGACTAATATTTTATGTTGATTTTGTATTCTGCAATTTTACTGAATTTGTTTATCAGTTCTAAGAGTCTTTTGGTAGGGTCTTCAGGTTTTTCTATACAAAAGATCATGTTGGCTGGGTAAGGTGTTCATGTATGTAATGCCAGCACTTTGGGAGGCTGAGGTGTGAGGCTCGCTTGTGCCCAGGTGTTTCAGACCAGCCTGGGCTACGTAGTGGGACTCTGTTTCTACAAAAAATAAAATAAAAAATTAGCTGGGTGTAGGTGTGCATGCCTGTATCCTAGTTACTCCGGAGGCTGAGGTGGGAGGATTGTTTGGGCCCAGGAGGTCAAGGCTGCAGTGAGCCATGATTGTGCCACTGCACTCTAGCCCAGGTGACAGAGTGAGACCCCCCAACTCAAAAAATGAAAGATTATGTTGCCTGCAAACAGGGACAGTTAGAGTTCTTCCTTTCTAGTTTTGGTGCTGTTTATTTCCTTCTCTTGCCTAACTGCTCTGGCTAGGACTTCCAGTACCATGTTGACTAAGAGCGGTAAGAGTGGGCATTCTTGTCTTTTCCTGGTTCTTAGAGGGAAAGCTTTCCACTTTTCCCCATTCAGTATGATGTTAGCTGTGGGTCTGTCACATGTGCTGTTTATTGTGTTAGGGTACTTTCCTTCTATACCTAATTTACTGAGAGTTTTTATCACGAAGGGATGTTGAATTTATCAAATGCTTTTTCTGTATCTATCGAGATGATGATCTGTTTTTTCCCTTATTCTGTTGATAGGATGTGTCATACATATCGATTTGCATGTGTTGAATTCACTTTGCATTCCTGGGATAAGCCCCACATGATCATGGTGTATTACCTTGCTGATGTGTTGTTGGATCTGGTTTGCTGGTATTTCGTTGAGGATTTTTCTGCCTGTGTTCATTTGGGATATTGGCTCGGAGTCTTTTTTGTGTCCTTGTCTGGCTTTGGCATTGGGGTTATGCTGGCCTCATAAAATGAGTTAGAAAGAATTCACTCCACTTCAATTTTTTTGAATAGCTTGAGAAAAATTCATATTAATTCTTCTTTAAAGGCTCAGTAGACTTCAGTGGTGAAGCTATTTGGTTGTGAACTTTTCTTTCTTGGGAGCCTTTTGATTACTGATTTAATCTTCCTACTTGTATTAGTCTGTTCAGGTTTTCTATTCATTCTTGCTTCCATCTCGGTAGGCTGTATGTGTTCAGGAACTCTCCATTCTCTCTGGGTTTTCAAATGTATTGGCATATAGTTGTTCTTAGCAGTCTGTAATGATGCTTCTTTTCTTTTCTTTTCTTTTTTTTCTTTTTTTGAGACGGAGTTTCACTGTTGTTACCCAGGCTGGAGTGCAATGGCGCGATCTCAGCTCACTGCAACCTCCGCCTCCTGGGTTCAAGCAATTCTCCTGCCTCAGCCTCCCGAGTAGCTGGGACTACAGGCATGCAACACCATGCCCAGCTCATTTTTTTTTTTTGTATTTTTTTTTAGTAGAGACGGGGTTTCACCATGTTGTCCAGGAGGGTCTCGATCTCTTGACCTCGTGATCCACCCGCCTCGGCCTCCCAAAGTGCTGGGACTACAGGCTTGAGCCACTGTGCCCAGTCCAATGATTTTTATATTTATGTGACATCCATTGGAATGTCTCCTTTTCACTGCTGATTTTATTTATTTGGGTGTTCTTTCTTTTTCTTTTAGTTAGTCTTGCTAATGGTTTATCAATTTTATCTCTGTTAAAAAATGAGCTTTTTTGTTGATCTTTTATGTTTTTCTTAATCTCAAAATTATTTATTTCTGCTTGGATTGGCTTGTCCTGGATTTTCTAGTTCCTTGAGATGCTTTAGTAGGTTTTCAGAGTTTTTGTTTGTCTGTTTTTGTTTTTGAGACGAGTCTCGCTCTGTCGCCCAGGCTGGAGTGCAGTGGCGTGATCTCAGCTCACCTCAACCTCTGCCTCCTGGATTCAAGCAATCCTCTTGCCTCAGCCTCCTGAGTAGCTAAGATTACAGACGCCTGCCACCATACCCGGCTAATTTTTTTTTTTTGAGATGGAGTCTCACTCTGTCACCAGGCTGGTGTGCAGTGGCACAATCAGCTCAGCGCAACCTCTGCTTCCTGGGTTCAAGCGATTCTCCTACCTCAGCCTCTCAAGTAAGCTGGGATTACAGATGTGTGCCATCATGCCCAGTTAATTTTTTAATTTTTAGTAGAGGTGGGGTTTCACCATGTTGGCCAGGCTGGTCTGAAACTCCTGACTTCAAGTGATCCACTTGCCTCAGCCTCTCAAAGTGTTGGGATCACAGGCGTGAGCCACCAGGCCCAGCCAGGTTTCCAGTTTTTTGACGTAGGCGTTTCCTGCTGTTAACTTACATCTTAGTGCTGCTACTGTGTCCCATAGGTTTTGGTACACTGTGTTTCTATTTCCATTTGTTTCAAGGAATTTAACGTTTTTAAAACTTTTTTCATTTTTAAAGATGTGAACACTTCATGAATTTGCATGTCGTCCCTGTGCAGGGGCCACGCTAATCTTCTCCATCGCATTTCGGCTTCAGCGTGTGCTGCCAGAGTGAGCGTGGAATTCTACATGTTCCTTCCTAACTTCTTCCTTCTCCCACCGGTCATTGAAGACCACGTTGCGTCATTTCCATGTATTCGAACATTTCAAATGTTCCTCTTGTTATTGCTTTCTAGTTTTGTTGCATTGTGGTCGGATAAGATACCTGGTGTGATTTTGATTTTTAAAACATTGTAGATTAACATATTGTCAATCCTGGAGAATGCTCCATGTGCTGGTGAAAAGAACGTAATTTTCAGCCATTGAGTGAAAAGTTCTGTAAAGGTCTGTCGGCTCCGTTTGGTCTATGGTGTAGTTTCAATCCAATGTTTCTTTGTTAATCTTTTCTCTAGATGATCTTTTTAATGCTGAGAGAGGGATGTTAAAGTCCAGCTATGATTCTGCTGGGGTCGATCTCTTCCTTTAGCTCTATTAATAATATTTGCTTTGTATATCTGGAAGCCCAGTGTTGGGTGCATATATATTTACAAGTGTTATATTCCCTTGCCAAATTAAGCCCTTTATTATCATACAGTGTCTTTGTCTCGTTCTACAGGTTTTACTTGGAGTCTGTTTAGTAAACTTACTGCTGCTCACTTTTGGTTTCCATCCCTTCACTTTTAGCCCATTTGTGTCTTTGCATGTGAGGTGAGTTTCTTGTGGGCGGTGTATAGTTGGGTTTTTAAAAAATCCATTCATGCCAGGTGCAGTGGCTCATGCCTGTAATTCCAGCACTTTGGGGGGCTGAGGAGGGATGATTGCTTGAGCTCAGGAGTTCGAGACCAGCCTGGGCAACATAGGGAGACCTCATCTCTACAAAAAATTTAAGAAATTAGCTGGGTATGGTAGTGCATGCCTGTGACACAGCTAATTGGAAGGCTGAGGAGGGAGTATCGCTTGGGCCTGGGAGGTTGAAGTTGCAGTGAGCTGTGATCATGCCATTGCACTCCAGCCTGGGTGAAAGATTGGGAACCTATCTTGAATGAATGAATGAATAAATCCATTCAGCTAGTCTATATCTTTTAAATGGAGGAATTTAATACATTTACATAAAGGGTTATTATTGATAGGTAAGGATATACTCCTATCATGTTGCTGATGTTTTCTCAATCCTTTATTCCTTACTTCCTCTCTCTCTTTTTTTTTTTTTTTTTTTGTGATTGGCTGGTTTTCTGTAGAGATTAAGTTTTTATTCCTTTTTCTTTATCCTTCCTACCAGTGACTTTAATAGTTTCACATGTTCACAGCAGCTGTCATTTTTTCACTTCCAGATGTAAGACCTTGAGAATTTCTTGTAAGGCTGGTCTAGTGGTGATGAATTTTCTTAGTTTGTGCTTGTCTGTGAAATATTTTATTTCTCTTTAATGTCTGAAGAATAACGTTGCTGAGTATACTTTTCTTAGCTGACAGTGTTTGTCTTTCGGTACTTGGAACATACCATCCCACTGTTTCCTGCCTGTAAAGTTTCTGCTAAGAAATGTGCTGTTAGGCTAAGGGGGAGTTCCCCTCTATGTGACTTGGTGCTTTTCTCTTGCTGCTTTTAGAATTTCTTCTCTTTGACTTTTGACAATTTCACTGTAATGTGCCTCAGAAAGAATCTGTTTTTGTTGAATCTATTTGGATTCAACTTTTGGACTTTTTCTCTCTCCTGATTCAGGGAGTTTTCAACTGTATTTCATTAAATATGTTTTGTAAATATTTCCCCTTCTCTTCACCTTTTAGAATGCCCATAATGCAAATATCTGTTCATTTAATGGTGTCCCATAAACTCTGTAGGGTTTATTTTGTTTTTTTGATCTGCCTGTGTTATTTCAAATGATCTAGCTTCGAGTTCAGAAATTCTTTCTTTTGCTTGTTCTTCTAGCCTATTGTCAGAGCTCTCAATTGTTTTAAATTTTATTCACTGAATTATTCAGCTGTAAGATTTCTGCTTGGTGCTTTTTATGATATCTATATCTTTGTTGCATTTCTCATTCAGAGCATGAACTATTTTCTATATGTTGTTGAATTGCCTATGTTTATTCTCTTGTTTCTCGCAGGGTTTCCTTAAGATTATTATTTTGAATTCTTTTTCTGGCATTTCATGTGTTTCTCTATGATTGGGCTCTGATACTGGAGAACTATTGTGTTCCTTCGGCGGTATCATCAGCAGTAAGGTGGATGAGAGAAGCATTCCTGCCGCAGAAATGGGAGTGCAGCGCCACATGGCAGTGGAACATTTCTAAACACTAGCACACACTAAGCTGCCAGGGAAGCTGCCAGAGAGTTACCCAGCCAAGCATGGCTATTTTTTGAAAAGAAAGAATACGGCCGGATGCAGTGGCTCACACCTGTAGTCTCCACCTTATTGCTGATGCTGTTGGCTTCTTGGAAGGGTTTACTTTGCTGCTCATGCTGGCTTGGACTAAAAGAGGGAAAACCTCCTATTACTAGCAGATGTCAGTCTCTCCCTCTCCTGACATGAGAATGTGTCTTAAATAAACACCTACCTCTTCTCCCATGCCTGAAAAGGGCCAAGATGCCACAGCTGAAGTTGCCAGGAGATCAGCACCTCTGCCTTTCCCCTGCACGCTGGGGATTTGCCCCTCCCCACCGTTTCTGGTTGAATGTGTCTGTGCAAACCTCTGCAGTGATCTCTATGAAGGGAGGATGGGAGTGGGCAGGGACTGAGCCCAGGGCAGAGGTGGCAGGTGGGCCTAGGGGAGCCTAGGCAGTGGGGTCAGGCAGTGGCAAGAGCCACGTGGAAAAAAGGAAGTCCGTTTACTCAGAAAACCCACTGCTGTCCCTGTACCAACCTGGGCCAGGCCAGGACAGATGGGCCTGGGCAAGTCTCCCATGGACACCACGCCAGCCTCCCCAGCAGCAGTCAGCTGCCTTACGTCTGCAGCTAACAGCCCATCCTGCCAGGGACAGCTGAAGGCTGCCTGGAGGGAGGCCTCTGGTTCCCAACAGAGCTGGGCTGAGCCCACGTTACCTGCTGCAAACCCTTCATCCTCAGACTTGTTTCCACATTTATTTAAATGATGCAGGGAGGGGCTGGGTTTTCTATAAATAACAATTAAGTACTCTTCGTGTTTAAAACAGAACACTTATTACTTGCAATTTTCTGAGGCAGCCAAGTTCCTGGCCAGTGTATTAAACATTGAACATTAGGTAACGAGATGAACTCTTGATTTCAAACCAGGCTGCGGACGCATCTCCCCTGGAATTCAGGCAGCCGTCGGTGCCCCTCTCAGAGCTGGGGACCGGATGGCAGGTGCGCAGGAGAGATGCGTCCATCACCAAGCAGTCTGCATTCCAAGGCGGAGAGTGTGCATGGACTGGGGTGCAGGTGGTTTATTTGGGGTGAGCCCAGAGAAAGGGGGAGGGAGTGGGGATGGTGGGGTGGACCAGGGGGTGAGACAGGGACTGTCACTGAGCTGGTTCCTGCCATGGGCTCTACCTGGGCATGGCTGTGAACACAGCATTTCTGAGCACAGGGAGGTTTGCATGACCACCCACCCATCCCAAGGTGCCCATCATGGAGAAAGGGCCTGCTGGTGTCCATTTTCCAATGCCTCCTGGCTGCACCTGCTTCTGGGCCCATGAAAAGGTTCTAGGCCTGGGGCAGAAAAGTGGGGCCCCAAACTATTCTCAGAAGAGGAACACTGTTAGGGTCCCTCTTCTGAGAATAGTTTGGGGCCCCACTTTTTTTTTTATAATATTTATTAAGATAACAAATTTATAAATTGAAAGACTCAGAGACACATAGTTTAAAAGGCCAATACCATGGGAATAATGAAGTCAACACAGAAAAGTAAGAAGATATAAACAGTTACAACCAGCTGCAGCTGAAGTGAGAATGAGCTGAGGGCATGTGGCTGGGGGCACCCAATGCATCTGTTAGGGTCTGAGTGCAGCAGGGAGGACTGTTCTCTTGTCACCATTCAGGCCACTGTGGCTGGACCATTTCCCATTATACCAGTTATGTAGGAAGAGACTGAGAAACTGGGTTAGTTGGCATCACCCTCCTGGCTATTGGAGTGATGTTTTGGAGGTTGGCTTGCTGGCGGCTCAGCCCTTCCCTCCTGCCACCTTCTTCTGTGCATGTCACCGATGTTAGGTGTGCCAGGGGTTGGCATGAGAGGAATCAGCGCCACTCCTATGGCTGAGCCAGACCACAGCTGGATTCTGCCACCAGGACAGTGAGAGGCTCTTTGCTCCCTGAGAACAGCCAGGAAAAGGGGGGGCACAGATGAGGCCTCCAGCAGGGTGGCTGCTCCTGCCCCAGTCCCAAACCCCACCGTGTAGGGACACAAGTCAGGGACAGGAGGGCCAGGCACAGACAGACCTCTTGGGGAGTGACCTCTGCTTGGAGAGGGAGCACGAGAATCCAGGCTTTCAGGAAGCCAAGAAAGACGCAACCGGGTTTAAAACAGGAGCACAGGGCAGAGCGTTGGGAGCCGCCCTCCGCAGTGCCAGGCTGGTTCCATCGGCTCCATCAGCGGAACTTACTCACATCACGCTGTGCAGCCTCAAACCTGGGAAGAGCATACTGTCTCTGCACAAGCTCATGTGGGAGTAGGTTCTTTTTTTTTTTTTTGAGATATGTCCCCCTGGGTGAGAGTGCAACGGCACGATCTCGACTCACTGCAACCTCTGCCTCCTGGGTTCAGGTCATGCTCCTGCCTCAGCCTCCCGAGTAGCTGGGATTACAGGCACGTGCCACCACGCCTGGCTAATTTGGTGTATTTTTAGTAGAGATGGGATTTCACTATGTTGGCCAGACTGGTCTCGAACTCCTGACCTCATGACCTGCCCACCTCAGCCTCCCAAAATGCTGGGATTATAGGCATGAGCGGCAACGCCTGGCAGGAGCGGGCTCTTTATGAAGGCACCGCACAGTAGAGTGGAGGCACTGCACAGTGGAGTGGGCTCTTTATGAAGGCACCGCACAGTGGGGCGGGCTCCTCATGGTGGCACCGCACAGTGGGGCGGGCTCTTTATGAAGGCACCGCACAGTGGAGCGGGCTCCTCAT